TGCAATGTCAGTTTTTTCCATTATCGTGCACCCTAACAAGAGATGTTGCTGATAATACTGATTTATCAACCGTGGCATTCAAGAGCATACGATGAACTTATTTTTAAAGCTCTGCAATAATTGTACAAAAAAACAGTCCCAAGTTTTCCAGGCTGCTGAAAGACCATTGTAAGGGCAGTGTTTTCATAGGGGCCTTGCGGATGAACCACAAGGCTGTCCAGGGCTTGTTTTAAAACTGGTCGCACTATATTCTCTCCATCCTGAAGAAAAAAGGCTATTTTTAACTGAGGCGGACAGCAACGATGAGCTGTAAAGTTAATCATGGAGGCTGCAGAGCTGATATACTGTATACGTCAGTACGCTTTCACACTCCAGCAGCACAAGGATTCACTCAGGTGTTTCACACACCAGACACCTTTTTTGTGGTCTGTTATAAAAATGCTGAATGTCTGGTCTGGAGAACCATCAGTCAACGTCATTGACAGAAAGACTTTCTCTTTCAGTGGATTCTACAGCCCTAAGATTTTCTTTCTTTCTTTCTTTCTTTCTTTCTTTCTTTCTTTCTTTCTTTCTTTCTTTCTTTCTTTCTTTCTTTCTTTCTTTCTTTCTTTCTTTCTTTCTTTCTTTCTTTCTTTCTTTCTTTCATTAAATAGTTTTATCATAATATGATTTTTTATTTTGAAGATTAAATAAAAAAAGTAACAGTTACAAAAGTAACAGTAAAGACATGTCAAATGTTACAAAATACGTCTTTTAATTTAAATGAAATTATTTTAAAAAAATTGTTAACTTTTGATTAAAAAGATTATTATTATTATTATTATTATTATTATTATTATTACTATTGTAATTATTATTACATTAAAAAAAGAAACAGTTACAGAAACAAAAGTAACAGTAAAGACTAGTAAAATGTTACAAAATATGTCTATTTTATATTAATGCTCCTTGAATTTTTTAATGAATCCTAATAAAACGTTTATTAAACCATATAATAAGTTATATTAAATATTAAAGAGTAAAATTTGGTGAAAAAGCTTTGGTGAGCATGTTGAGCAATTCTATATTTTTTGTTAACCTGTAAAAAGTCTATGTTATTTTTATCTTAATTTTTATATTCATTCTTATAATTATCATTATTATTATTATTATTATTATTATTAAATTGACAAAAGAAATTGTTACTTGTACGTTTTGTTACTGTACACCTCAATGTAAAGTAACAAAAGTAACAGTAAAGACAAAATAACGTTAAAAAAACGTACAAAATATGTCTATTTTACTTAAATGCTTTTTGAATTTTTTAATGAATCCTGATAAATGTTTATTAAACCATATAATAATCCATATTAAATATTAAACAGTAAAAATGTTTTCAACATCGATTGTAAAACATTTTTGATTTCTAAGTTCAGTTTTTCCTTCAAAATTAGTCTTTAAAGGGCATTTATTTTACGCCTTTTACAAGATGTAAGATAAGTCTTTGGTGTCCCCTGAATGTGTCTATGAAGTTTCAGCTCAAAATACCCATCAGATTATTTATTATAGCCTCCAAAATACACACACTTTGTTGTCTGAATACATTGTAGCTGTTTAGCCTGTAGCTTTAAATCCAAATGAACCACTTCTCCGCCCAACGTTTACACGTTTCCACAAACAGCAGAGTGACAGAGACAGACTCGGATGAAGCTGAAATACAGCTCATTAGTCAAAAATACCGGTCACACTTTACAATAAGGTTCATTAGTTAATGTTAATTAATGCGTTTAATAACATGAAGAACAATGAATAATACATTTACTACAATATTTATTCATGTTATTAATTGTTAGTTAATGAAAATACAGTAGTTCATTGTTAGTTCATGTTAACTCATGGTGCATTAACTAATGTCAACAAGCATGGACTTGAATGTTAATAATGCATTAGTATATGTTCAATTATGATTAATAAATGCTTTACATGTGTTGATGATTAGTTCATCTTAGTAAATGCATTAACTAATGAACCTTATTGTAAAGTGTTACCAAAATATCAAGTACGTTTATTTGATATATTTGTGGTGAAGTTTATTCAAGCCTTTCTGAAATGATGAGTCTCACACAAATGCTGTTTGCTGTACACACACACATATATATGCATGTTTACTGATACCATGCGGCCGTGGTGATTATAGCAGTTAAGAATTACACAGCAATTTTAGTGTCTTTATTACAAACAAACTCTTTTTAAAAAACATTTTAAATTTATAAAACTAATTAAAATCACAGAGAGTTGTAACAGTTATTTTAATCCCAGTTTATTTGTAAAAGAAAATTTTCTGTGTATACATGTTATTATGGAAACATGGTACCTGTCAACCAGTTCGGTGGCCAGGGACAACTGCACTCCTATATCACGTTGCGGTGGGCCTAAAAATTGCTGTGATTTGGGTCCTAATAATAACGTTAAGAAATTTTAATAAGGAGACTTATTGATTTTATATCACTCCATTATAACATCGAACACACTATACCTACACACAGTTCAGTCCAAAGAGCTTACAAAAGTTGATTTAATCATAGGTACCCTTTAAACAAAATATATTAAAATGGAAAAAAAAGTTTATTTAAATTGTAATTTATTTCAAAATATGAATATTTTACAGCATTTTAGTAGCAAATGAATTTAGCTTTGGTGAGCATACTTAAAAACATATTTTTTTTTCAATTTGTCATAAAAAGTCTATTTTTAGTATAGTTATAACTGTTATTATTATTTTCGATTTTGAAAATGCCTCTTTTTCTATCCATTCCAGGTATTAAAAAGTTCGGTGTATGTACGCAAACATGACTTCAGCCCTGTTGTTTTTGTGTCTGGCCTGACCTCTTTGGCATTTTCCACATCATAGTAAATGTAAGTCGGGTCATGCCGATCAGGTCAAAGAATTAAGGTCCCGGGGGACACCCATAAACCCCACAGTGTTCTTATGGTGACATTTAGCAGGTCAAGACCCTGCTCCAAAGACTGACCTGAATTCAGTCAACATCAATCTGGACTCATCTGATATTTAAACATGTAAGACTTGGCGAGAGGCCTTTGGCTAGCATTAGAAGGATTCTTGCCAAGCGGGACTAGATGAAATGAGAAAGACAACAATGAATGAATCATAGAAGATTTAGGATGAACAAGCTAAAAAGGTAGAGAGCTATTTTTGTCACTGGCCTGAATAATACTTATATTGGTCAGGCAGTCACATGAGACAAAGACTGATGAAGCTGGAAATAAAAATAAAAAGAAAAAAAATGAAAAGAAAAAAATAAAATAAATAATAATAATAATAATATAGAATTTTAAAAAAATATTGGTTATTATTAAAAACTCTTAAATATTGAATACAAAAGAATATTGAATAGAAAATAATTATCTTGAATTAGGCTAAAGATTTGGCAATTGTAATGCTTTTTAATGCGTTTATGCTCATATAAATGCAGTCTACGTAAGCATAACAGATTAAAAGCATAATTATACTGTATATACAAGAATAAAAACAGTTACAGCATTTAAAAGTGTATTTGTAATAATATTTTGGGGTCAGTGTTTTACAATTTTGAAAGAAATTCCACCAACAAATTAACAGGAAAAATGGTGTGAAAAACAAACAATATTTAATCACATGTGCTTTATTTACAAGAATAGTTATTGTAAATTGTACTAAAGTATTTATGTTTGCACAGACGCTATGGCTGAAATTATTCAACTTAATTTAATTCAAATTCAATTAAAAAAAAAACATGGTCAGTTCAATCAACTCAAAAATCTATTTAACTAGACAGACATGTCTTACACTAAAGGCTGATTTATTTTATTTAGGATGGATATTTTAAGCTGAAACTTTGCAGACACATTCTGGAGACACCAAAGACTTATCTTACATCTTGTAAAAGGTGTAAAATAGGAACCCTTTAATGTACTGTAGCTGATTGGTTTCCTTCCCTCATATATTCCTCCCCAAATATATTATTATTTTGTACTAATTGGCCAGGGTAGCCCAAAAAACGTCCGGGAACCCATAAAAAAGCAAAACAAATCAACTACAGATATGGCTACGGAGAATGCGTGTTTCTGCATGCGCAATACTGCAATTTGTTAACCGCAGTCACGCGCTTTACTGCAGCTGTAAAGGCTGCCTTTTCATTAAAAACAAAACAAAACAAAAAAACATTTCTGTGCTTTACCCAGTAACCACAAGGTGGCGCAAGGAACAACCGCTTTTCCATTGACTAAGTTGTCATGCGTGTTTAGATGCCAGCATTTGTGTGCTAGAACGCTCAATTCAGCTGGGTTTCTTTATTTATTGATTTATTTAGGAGACAATGCATACATAATTGTATTAGCATATGAATACAACAGAAAGACATTAAACCAATATAAAACAAACAAAAGCTTTAACAATTTACAGGCCCGTAGCCAGCCTGGTGAAAGGGGTGGTTCATTTTTTCTTAAAAAGTGGACCTTTTTGCAGTTAAACGTCTCAGTTTCAATTTACTTTGAGATTTAAACAGTGCATTTTAGTGAAATAGTTTTGCTAGATTAGCTAGTCAGATGTCATTTTTGATGTACTAAAAATATTTCCAACGAGGTGCGCTATTTGCACTTAGCCTAAATAGACACTCCAAAATCGGCATTTTAAACAGTTAAACTATATAGTATAAGATAACACAAACAGCTGCCAAAAGAATGTCCTTTTCACACTGCTTACAGGTAGCTCACGTGCTCAGTATACTGTATCAGTTCAGTATGCTCACTGTTACATAACTGCCCCCCTGCTGGTCAAGTATTTCCTGTGTTAGCCTATGTTGTGCACTGAATCACTTTACTGCAAAAATGTGCGATTTTTTTTTTAAATCACTCGCGCCTTCTAAGTAGCCATATCTGTGTATAACTTATTTTACAATGTTTGTGTTCATGTTCACAACATTAAACTCCAGCACTGAATAGAGTGGATGTAGACATCATACCTGTGATGAGCTCCCGAACTTCCATGTCATTGGTTTTCCTCAGCAGTCGGATGAGAGCAGGAATCCCATCGCAGCTCTTGATGGCCACCTTGTTATCGTGGTCTTTCCCATAAGAGATGTTTCTCAGAGCTCCGCAGGCCTTGCGATGGACTTCAGCTTTCGGGTGGTCCAGCAGACTCACCAGCACTGGGATGCCCTTTAGCTGCCGGACATCCTTTTTGATCTTGTCGTTCTCGTAGCAGAGATGCTGCAGGTAAGCGGCGGCGTTGGACTTGACCGGGTCGATTGGGTGACCCAGCATGGCGATGACTTCAGGCAGGTCGGGGTCTCTCCAGCGAGGGTCTTTGCGGATGCTGTCGATGGAGGGTGAGCGACGGCCACCCATGCGGTCCAGACTGGCCATGCTGCCCCTCTCGGGTTGGGCAAGAGGTGCGGGGTACATGCCATGAATGTAGGGGTGTCTTTCATCAATTAATTCGGCCTCTATGGGATCCTCATAGCCTCTGTTTAAAAAATAAACAAAGAGGAAGAGAGTTTTAACAGTCATCCAGAGAGCATAAAGCAGACATGCAGTTCATTTTTATTTTAGAATTCATTTGAACACATTTTAAGGTACATGACTTTTTGTTCAGGGCAATTTTTTAAAAATATATTTTAATAAATTGTATTTTTAAGATAATTTTTATATTTTTTTTATATTTGGAACTAGGATTGCGCTATACATATATATTGCAAGGTTTGCAGCGTCATGTTCAGATCAATAATATCTAAAGAAATGAGTAAACCCATCACTTTTAAAATAATTAAAAGACTTTACTTAAAAAGTGAGTAAACCCATTAGGTTAAAATGATTAAGTAAATGAATAATTTGCATAATTACAACATTTAAGTTAACTCAACCATTCCAAGTTGCAACAGTTTTACTCAGTTTTTAAAGTAAACTTGTTGCTTTTAGGACAAGGGGTTTACTATTTTGTAAGTAATGTAACTAATCACTTTTTACAGTGTATGAATTCTTTAACAGAAGAAATAAATTTTTTTAAAAATTGATTTTTTTTTTCAATATCGTGCAGCTCTACTTAGGATGCAGTTTTTTATAATAAGATTAAATATTGTATAAAGACTAAATAAAAAGGGGGTTTCAAGCATCAAAATAGGTGTCATACAATTTTTTCCTCTGTACTTCAGCAATTACAGTGACAGTTTCTATCCCAGAAAATCTTGTCCAGCACATTTATAAATACATTAAGAGACACCAATTAAGGATCTAAGAGTTGTCTCAAAATACTTTAAAATATATTGTCATTTTAAATATTTACATATTGCCACTATTGTTCAAACCACAATATTATTTCCCAGTAATAATTTTGAAAATGTTTTTAAAATAAATCACTTATTATTTCATATATTTAAATGAGAAGGTCAAAGTAATTATGTGGTTTCAGTTAAACATAAATAAAAAAATGAATGTTACTAAATCAAACATTCAATCATTTATTTTCCTTCGGCTTTGTCTCTTTATTCATCAGGGGTCGCCACAGCAGAATGAACCGACAACTTAAAACACCCAGTAAATGTTTTACCCAGCGGATGCCCTTCCAGCTGCAACACATCACTGAAAAACAATTATGTATGAAACATTCATACATAATTAGCCTTTTTTTTAAATATAAAAACTTTTGCCTTTTTACTCACATAATACACATTTTCTGTGTACTGTATATAAAATCATGCCAAAACAGGATAACCTTGATATTATTTCAAAAGACCTGTCTTAGGCTAAATATGTGATACAAGCTTAATATGAAGGATGAGGGTAAGAAATGGGACACAGAAAAGCAAGTGATTGTTTGAGTTATTAACCATGAAGTCAAAGAATCCATAGTACTCAACAATGAGAAAAACTGCTGCCACTTTCCTATTAATCGTGTCTGTCAGGAGCCGGTGACGTTCTCTCTTTCTTTAATTAATGATGGATGGGATTCAGCGTGAGGGAAAACACAGAGCCTGCAGGGCCCAGAACAAATATAGAACAGACTGGAAACAAAGAGGCAGAGAGAAAGAGAGACAGATGGACAGGGAGCGATGGATGGATTCCCTACCATGAGTAATCCTAATACAGCAGCACGTTTACCGGGAGAATCCCAGGACTTTTTCCAGTCACACACACAAGCAATCAATATGCAGGAATAGGAAATGAAACAATCGATGTGCATTTCTGAAACACTCACAGTAAACTGACACCGCTATTACTTTGAGGAAGATACAGCAGTCATGAATGCAGAGCTTATTCAGGTCACAATTTTACAATCGACAGTCTACAATTCCTCATTCTGCTGCTTCTGTGCTCTTAGAAAGTGTAAATGTATCTTTACAAGGTAAACTTCATCACCTTTGCAGAGGAAAGACATAAAAGCCCAAAGAGGAAATGAAAAAAGCTGTAGCACAACAAGGAAAAGAACCATTTAGCCAACCAAAAAGCCCTGTAGATTGAAAATACTATTTCAAAACAAATGCTCAGTGGGAACATTTTCAGGTACTTCAGGCACCCAGAAAATTAACTGCTGTATCACTTCATTAAACGGAGCCGAAACTGACCAAAATGTGCTGTATGTGAGGTCGAAACATCTCATTTCCAAAAGAAAACTGACCCGCTGCTCAACAGTTGGCAACAAGAGATTTGCATTTCTCTGGGGCATCACACAAACCCTTGAGCTTTAAATGGCTGATGTGAACTTCTAATAAGAACATTTGTGTATGCTCTTTTTTGCTGGTTTACAGCATCAATTCATCTTGGGAATGACAAATACAAGTCCTGCACAGTGGCTAGAAGGATTTTGAACCATTCAACTTGCAGAATAGTGACCAGGTCACTATGTGATGCTGGTAGTGGAAAATATTTCCTGACACCAATGTGGCTCAACAATATTATGATTAGGTGACTGCACAGGCCATAAGAGATGTTCACTTTCATATTCACTTTCATTTTTATCAAAACACTCTTTCACCCATATTTTCCCATATTTTACATTTCTAAAAATATTTCCTGCATTTCTTTTGTATTTTCTGTCTTTCTTTGAAGGGTTGCGATAAAAATTAAAGAGCCAATCCTCCGTATACGAAACCCATAATGCCGATCAACCAGGGGCTGCCCCTTGCTCTTAAATGCGAGTCTGTTCTGTGGTTTTGCTTTGTTTAGTATACACTTTAAAATAAATATAAAAACAGCGGGATTCCCTTTCCTTTTCATTAAAGATGTCGACGCCCCTCCTATGCAATCCTCAAAATAGTCATATAGCTGTGCGTAACTGTCATGCTCCATAGTGATAAATAGACACAGTTTCCCAAACAGATTCTGTACACAAGATTTGAAACAGAGCGAAAGTCTGGGTTTTGGGTGCATACTTGAACAGACATATACACCTAATTAATAATAATAACATCTAAAGATGTCGATCTTGGTGGGGGCTTTTTTCCCCAAACACAACTAATTTTGTCCTCAATGTGCATAGAAAGTTACGAATAAGCTAGCTTTCAAGCAGTCGAATGCTTTCATTATAATGAGATTCATTTGATGCTCTTTAATAAGAATATGGAAGTTATACAGTGAAGAAAAAGATTAATGAGATTTGATAACTTAATTCTACTATTTTATAATAGCTATTACTTTTAATAAGCTGAACTGTTTGCTAATTTATTTGCTGCTAATGTATACTATGCTATTTTAGTATTTTGATTTGTGTGTGTGTGTGTGGGGGGGGGGGGGTATCCCTTATTAGCATATCTCTTATTTTCACATCAGAATGTTGACGGGTATGCTGTGTGTATTGGTGTATTATCATCTTGATACCCAACAGTGCCTTTAGGATACAAAGTTTGAACCCTTTGGTTCACATGCTCCTTCAAAATGGTTCAGTAGTCCTTGGCAGTGACACACCACCAAACACTAGAACTGAGCCTTGGGAATGCATTGATATAGCAGCCCAAACTATCACTAATCCACCCCCATGCTTCACTCTGGGCATGCAACAGTCTATGTGGTACACTTCTTTGGGGCTTCTCCACACCGTAACTCTCAAGTTGTGGGAAAGACAGGGAAGGTAGACTCATCTGACAACAAAACATGTTTTTCATTCTCCAAAGCCCAAAATTTGCTGCTGGCACCACAAAAAAAATTTTTTTTGGCATTGGTAAGAGTGACAAAAGGTTTGGGTATAGCAGCCCAGCTATTTGTGTATATATATATATATATATATATATATATATATAAATATGTATATATATTGACCCTGTGGAGATAACGGTGAACAGTTTTGGAGGAAACAGGTGATTTGAGGTGCACTTTTATTTCAGCAGTGAGTTAGGCAGATGTGGTTTTATTTTTTGGATACATTTTTGGATAAATTGGCCAGTTTTTCAATTTCATTGTTTAACCCCTGTATATAACTGTGTTTGAAAATACAACACAATAGCATAAAATACTATATTGAAGTGTTTACTGCTTATTTGTCAATTACCGACTTACAGTCATGTCTGCCAATGAGCCACTTTAAGTAATTAAGACATTATTAAAGTTAATGATTAACGTAATCTATGGTAAATCCTTATTCTAAGTTTAAATAATATGACCAAATTTTGACTACTTCATACAGGAATGTAAAATATGGAGCAATTGCTTGTTTTGTCCCACCACTTTGTATGACAGAGTTTTGTATGCTCAAACTCCACTGTGACCATGACTTAATACACATGTGCCCCAAAATATGTTAGTGATGCGCATGTTTAATTGACCATTGATGAGTTGTATTCATTTAAAAGACTATCAACAAGTAATTGACCACCATTATAAACAAAGCCACAGATTGAGATCCAAGCAATGTCTCGATGATGAATGATTACAGTGTATTTGCACATAAAATCCCTAGTGCTTTGGATTTCTGGTACACCTTGTTTTTGCCACCCAGAGCGAGACGAGGACAGAAAATGAGCTGGAAATGGGGAAAGAGAAAGAGCGATGGTGAGTGAACGACACGGGGGTTTAATATTTCTATGCCAATTTAGAAGTAGCACCACAGGGACGCCTCTGTTTTGGACAGACTGATAATGAAGCATGCTGAGACTCCTATCTGAGATTGATGTAACCTCCCTGATATGTACAGCGTAGCCCCAGACATGTCATTTCCAACTTATGATCAGTAGAGGACAAGCACTGCTGGAGTGGAATATTGTGGCTCTTGAGATCCTTCGGTCGCCTGTTTGCTCAACACAGATGCAGAACAGGAAAAATGCTTGGGATAGCAAATCCAGTAAGTTATGTGATCAAGTGTGTATGTTCTTTTCAAATAGCAAATAAAATTGTAATTTACTTTCATAATATGTTTTATTTTTTTGAATTGATTTTTAAACAGCAATGTGTCATGTTGACTTTTAATTTTTTTCTTTAACAAAAAAAAAAAAGGTTCTTCTACAGTTTGATTTACAAGTCCTTTAGAATGGCATACAG